ATGTATATGTATATATATATATATATATTTATTGTTTTGGATATGAAATTGCATGTAATCTATGTATGTATGTGTATATAGATGTAAATATTTTAGAGTTAATATTTGTAATATGTGTGAATATATGTATAACAGTAATATAAATACATATGCATGTATGGATGTTTATGGGTATAGTTCTTTTTATATGCTTGTTTATGTATATAATTGTGTGTGTATGTAGGTGTATGTGTGTGTGTATGTATATGTGTATATATGTATATATGTATGTATATATGCATATGTATGTATATGTGTATGTTTGTGTATATGTATATGTGTGTGTATGTGTGTGTATATATATATATGTGTGTGTGTGTGTGTGTGTGTGTGCGTGTATAGAATGTATTCAAATGGAAGGATATAAGGTCATTTTAATGGTGTTTTAAAATTACTCTTATTAATATTTAATATCACTTTCTCATTTAATGTTCTATAATTAGAATTATGAGTGTATATTTATCATCTGGAGGTATTTTCGTTTTAAATTGATAATTTAACTTAAATTTAAATATACCACTCTTTAACTATCAATATTGATAGTAAAATATTAACTTAATTTTTTTTTTGAATAATTAAACACTTCAGAAGTCACCTAACGTTAAACATTAACTATGAAATTAAACAAAAATCTAAATAAATTTCAAATATCAAAATATATGTAATTATTTATAAATGTATGTGTATGTAATTTATGTATGAATATGTATAGGTACCTGTGTATATCGCTACATGTGTGTCTATGTATGTATTTGCGCATGTAAATAAACGTATGTATATATGGGATTTGTATGAATATGTATGTGATATATATATAAGAAGAAAGTAAAATCTTTAATATTACCCTCAAATATTATTCCATAATTAAACCTAAACTTTAAGTAAGTAAGATTACCCATATAAAAATAACGACAAATTGCATTCATAAATTAGATTAAAAGTAAAACGAATAAAGATGTTACCGTAACTATTTTTACAATATTAAAAAAGTACGATTGGTCGGGTAAATAAACTATTACAATTTAAAATATTTTTTTTAATATGTTCTCTATAAATGTGTTAATAAATATAGTATTTAACTTATATTATGTCCCTAAACTATTTGTTTAAAAAATTAAATATTTAAATTGATAGCAAACATTAATTTTTTTAGTCATCTAAATTTCTATCAAGCATTAAAATCTATTCTTTACATAAATTGTTAAAACCCTATTACAGCCTCTTTCTCTTTACTTCTCTCTCCCTCTTCTTTCTTTTTCCTTTTTCTTTTCTGCCTACTCTCCTCCCATTTCAATATATCACTTCCGTTAAGTTAACCATCTAAATAGGTCAAGGTCTGGTCACTCCTCCTCCCACAATATAAAGTATACTTGAGAGAGATATGGAATTGATCCCTCCCTATACTCTACCATGTCTCTTTAACTATCCCTCTTACACTCTCTGTTAAATTACAAAAACTTACACTACCCATCAATTTTAATTTCATTTTTCGTTTCATTTCATTTTTGGAAGTGCTATCTGATGATCCGGCGTCCTTTAAAAGGGCTCTGGTGAAATAAATTATTATAATGGTACCTTAAAGTGGTCTGTTTTTCTTTTATATATATATATATATATATATATATATATATATATATGTTGATGCGGATTTTATTTTAATGTATTTCTCTAGCTGTTACTCGTATTCTCCAAACCATCACACATGAACATCTGTTGACATCTCCATCTCTTCAATATTATAAATCCCCAGAAAATAGGTCAAGCGTCTAGACATCCTGTTATCATTTTTAGAATACATTGTCTGGATAAATATAAACCATTCTGTAAATGTAAACCGTTTGTAATTTCGCTCTGAAGAAACGGGTATTAAAATCTTACCTGCCAAAAAAAAAAAAATTACAATTTATAACTGTTTTCGTAAAAATGAGGCGTCTATTTCACATACGAGTATCCACCGAAATAAAATTTGGGTACTATATGTTTTATAGCCTTTAAAATTGGATGATAAACAAGAGGTCAGAAAAGATATGGGGTAGCATGGCCTACTCTTGTTCCACAAACCCCGTAATCATCAGTGATTGGCGAGATTTACACATCTGTATTGCACACATAACAATAACAATACAATGACGCGGCCTTTTTTCCGGTTGTGTGTAATTGTTCGACTCTGAAATGCCACGAGGCAGTCGGTAGATCATTGCGAACTGATTAAGCATTACTATAGAAACTATAATAAGTTGGCCATTATCAGTGACCGGTTGAATTCAAATCTCGGAACAGAATGATACAAAAAATCACTTCGTTTCGTTCGGTCAGTCTCTCTTTCAATGAGATTTTTTACAATTAGTAAAAGTCAGTGTGTCGCACTGTGTCCGTATCTATCTATCTATCTATCTATCTATCTATCTATATATATATATATATATATATATATATATATATATATATATATATCATCCAGTTAATATCTATCTATCTATCTATCTATCTATCTATCTATCTCATTCTGTTCCTATCTATCTATCTATCTATCTATCTATCTATCTCTGCCTGTTCATATCTATCTATCTATCTATCTATCTATCTATCTATCTATCTATCTATATATATATCTATATCTCATTCAGTTAATATCTATCTATCTATCTATCTATCTCACCCTGTTCATATCTATCTCATTGTGTTCATATATATTTCATTCTGTTCATATCTATCTATCTATCCATCTATCTATCTATCTATCTATCTATCTATCTATCTATCTATCACATTCAGTTAATATGTATCTATCTATCTATCTATCTATCTATCATCTATCTATCTATCTATCTATCTATATCTCATTCTGTTCCTATCTATCTATCTATCTATCTATCTATCTATCTATCTATCTATCTATCTCATTCTGTTCCTATCTATCTATCTATCTATCTATCTATCTATCTATCTATCTATCTATCTATCTGTATCAGCCTGTTCATATCTATCTATCTATGAAGAAAATATCTGGAAAAACAAAACAAAAATCCTTAAAATGCGATTATGTTGTTTTAATATGAATGAAATGTCGACGTCTGACGTTTCGGTTTAATAACCTTCTTCAGGACAATATTCATTAAAAATACAATTAACATAATCAATATAACACGACGAAAACGATGGACATAAAAACAAGTCTTATGCAAAACAGATAAATGAAAATTTCATTTATCTGTTTTGGATAAGACTTGTTTTTATGTCAATATAACACGACGAAAACGATGGACATATCTATCTATCTATCTATCTATCTATCTATCTATCTATCTATCTATCTATATATATATAAATATATATCATTCTGTTCATATCTATCTATCTATCTATCTATCTATCTATCTATCTATCTATCTATCTATCTATCTATCTATCTATCTCATTCTGTTCCTATCTATCTATCTATCTCATTCTGTTCCTATCTATCTATCTATCTATCTATCTATCTATCTATCTATCTCTGCCTGTTCATATCTATCTATCTATCTATCTATCTATCTATCTATCTATATGTCATTCAGTTAATATCTATCTATCTATCTATCTATCTATCTATCTATCTATCTCACCCTGTTCATATCTATCTCATTGTGTTCATATATATTTCATTCTGTTCATATCTATCTATCTATCTATCTATCTATCTATCACATTCAGTTAATATCTATCTATCTATCTATCTATCTATCTATCTATCTATCTATCTAACTAGCGAATAGGAAATGTAATTCAAAGACTCAAAAGGAAACTTGATACATCACATATGCGAACATCCTGCTGCATAATATCCCTCTGACGGCCAATTCTGAAATTATTGAAAGCCAAGTGTTGTAAAGACATCTCTTAATGGCAGTTTTTCATCTCGCTTTTCGGCATATCACGCTGTGCGATTTTAAGAACCAGTTTCACTTGAATTCTCCTTCCTAGTTTCGTATCTGACGTCACTTCCGCTGGCAAACTCACTGCTCACATCCTGTTCGCATCTGGGTACAGCATACGGGAAGCAACAAGGGGTGACAGTGAGCAGTCTGCGGTCAACGTTTAAGCTTCTTCGACATCTTCTTCTCAAGGATCGCTTGGTCGCTGGCCAGTTCATTAGTGGCGAGCCAGAGGGGATAAATAACGTTTACAAGTAAATAATAGTGGCTTAAAAAAAAGACAAATCAACCATAACGTGAAATAAAGCGATACAAAGACTTCCATTAGAACGTATATACAGATAACATTACGACAGACCGAAAGGTAAAAATACAAAAACATTAACTGATTTAAAAATATGTTTCCATAGCTACACAGAAATTACCATGTTCCAAAAACAGAAACTAAACCTTGAAATTCAATTATATAATTAAAGGGCCTAGTTCGATTTCATTTTTAAGCGAATTTTAGAATAATTTATTTTGAAATTTACTGAGTTTTGTAAGCACATACATTCATAATATTTATTTCCAAGGATACGGAGAAATCCAATCGTTTTAACAAAGGGCGGTAGCGTGTTCATTTATACTGCCGTCTACTTCATTAAAATTGAGCACTAGTTTGTAATAATAAAAATTTTAATAAGAAGACCTGATTATATGTCTTCTTTGTTACTGTTATATATATATATATATATATATATATATATATATATATATATATTTATATACTTATATACATATATATAATTTTATATTTATATATATATATATAATATACATTTTATTAGTATATATATATATATATATATATATATAAATTAAAGACATTAGTTCCATTTCATCCTCGCTTGAGGCTGAAATGGAACTGTCTTTAATTTTAATTACATAAAATTAAATTTGGTGCAAGCTTTTAGCTTCCATTTTTGAAACATGATTAGAACTGTGTAGCAAAAATATAACATATTTTAAATCAGTTAATTTTATAATATATATATATATATATATATATATATATATATATATATATATATATATATATGAATGTATGTATTAGATATGCCACATTTTGACGAAGACGAATTCTTGTGTTACTTGGTAGATTCGTATATAACTATATGATTGTGGTACGTGTAGATGATTTGACTCGTATATTTTGTATTTATTTATTGTATATATGAGTATGTGTAGATATAGAGATACACATGTATTAGTGTTCATGTATTTTTTATTGATGCTAACGGTGTGCATTATGTATTTATTATGTATTTGCTCTTTTAGAAATCTGTTATTTTCACTGTGACGGTCATAAATACAATGTATGTATTAAGAACAGAGAGCGGTTAAATATATCTCTGACCAATGTGGGTGCTACATGTTAATCTATATGAAAAGTTTCTCATATCGATAGAGATACACATAGTTATTAAACTTAAATCTGTGAACTTTTAACCTTAGTAGAGAAATATTAATTCGTATCCGATTAACTTAATTGTTTTAAAATAAAAATCTTTTTTTAAATCACTTCATATCCCGTTAAACTTAAATAAAATTATTTAAATTATAAAAGTTTTGGACTATTGCTTATTTTATAAACGTTATATAATATAATTATTTGTTTCCTTACATAAATAGATTTTATTTATAGATATTTTCTTCTGTATATCATAGTATTCTTATTATTTGCTTATGTAGAATCTCATAGATAATTATATTTTAACGACACACACACGCCTGTGTGTGTATATATTTATACACACACACACACACATATATATATATATATATATATATATTATGAAATGGGCAAAGTCCGACAATTACTTTAAGACATTTTTACGTTTAACATTCTTTTTATGGATACAAATATTTAAGGAAATGGTCTGTTTATAAACAACAGTATTAAATAACATTTACCGGCCTGAATGTCTGAGAAATTTTCATAGAAAATATTCGTTCTCCGACAGGATTCGAACCTGTATCCTATACAGAACCGTCATATAGCCTGACGTGCTTTTACCGATTTCGCCATAGAGGGTCGATCGTTTAGCAAGGTCGAATTTACTGCCTTTAAACTTCAATCATCCATAAATCTCTCACGTATCTCACGTATATTTGTATCTATAAAAAGAATGTTAAACATAAAAATGTCTTAATATATATGTATGTATGTATGTTTATATTTGTGTGTGTTCATATGTGTGTGTGTGGATGTGTATATGAGTTTGTGTATATATATATATATATATATATATATATATATATATATATATATATATATAATTATATATATTTATTTTTTAAAATATTTTTTGAATAGATCTTTTTACGGTTAAATTGAAATCTTTATCTAGGCTCTGAATAATTTTCTTTTTGAATATATTTTGGATGTTCTTAACTTACCCCTATTTTTAATATGAATTATAACAGTTTTTTTTTTTAAAGTTTTTATGTGTGAAAATCAGAGCTGAGGAAAGATCCAGACAGATTTTCAAATTTACATTTAGAATCTTGTTTTTTCAAATATATTCTCAATTGCCAGTTTCATATAACGATTTTTATTTACAATCCGGATGTCATTTTAGGTCACCACGGGTGTTAATACAACTGAGACAGTTTTCTCCCCACCCCTGCCTACACGATGACAATTTAATACCTTCCTTTCCCCTACTCCCTATATAAAATCACTATTCTTAATTTTTAAACCTAAAGTTAATTTTTCCATCTTCATTTGGTTTACAGGTCTGAGGATTTGAAGCCATGTATTATCGGCTTCAATGAAATAAATTATCACCTATGGTTTTTTAAGTGATTTTTGTCATTATATATATATATATATATATATATATATATATATATATATATATATATATATGTGTGTGTGTGTGTGTGTGTGTATATATAGAGAGAGAGAGAGAGAGAGAGATTTCTAAAGAATTACTTCATTCACATTTAATTAGACATTTTTATTACTTCAATTGTTGTTTTTAGTGGATACGAGCGTTAGATATAGCCGTCCCATTAAAAAAAAAAAATGACAGTGTCTTACGTATATCTGCCTGTGCAGCTGAGAAAGATTAATAAAGACAATGTACTCTCCGGTAGTGTTCGAACCTGCATCTCCTTATGTCGGAGAGAATACCGTTTGATTTGGCGTGATTAAGATTGCTGGGCCGCAGAGATCATCACAGCTCACCAAGGTTCGACTTCACCTTTTAAGGAATATACACTTCCTCATTTACTCATTCTCGAGAGCATGATTAATAGGCGTAATACAAACTGTTTAAAATAAAAAGGGCGTCTATTTCAAATACGGTTATCCTCTGAATGTAACGTTCTAAATAAAATATATAACCATAGTATTAAAGTTATAATATCTTATGTAAAATTGTATATATGTATTTATCCATTCTGTCCTGTATGTACGTAAGCGTATTGTCGTTTAGTTTTAGTGATATATGCCACACATAGAAACGTTTATATATATATATATATATATATATATATATATATATATATATATATATATATATATATATATTCATATATGCGTAAGTGTGCAGATGATGTACAAATTTCCTATGATTTATTTCTTGATGTGCATGCGTGTCTAAATAACTCAAAATGACTTTGATACATTTTGACAATGCAATCAATTTATTTTCTACGATTACTCTGACGTTTTTATAACCCAGGCTGTCTCATCATTTTAACAGAGCTCGTCTCATCCACTCTGAATTTAAGACAAGAAAAAAAAAAAAAAGAAAAGAAAAGAAAAGCCAAACACTATTTTTTGGAATTCCCAGAAGAAATATTTTCCAACCAATTTTGATTCTTCATTTTCAAATCGACGCTGGCAAAAGCAAATGACTGCGTTGTACTTTTTACTGAATATTTTGCCGTGAACAACGCAATTTAACGAACGTGTTTTGCAATTTATTTGCGAGGGAAAATTGTCATTTTGAATAAGAAATAATAAAAAACTTTTTCTCTCGTTTTTCAACCGATCAACTTTGTATGTCACTTATAGGAACTGATGTACCA